ACTAAATATTAACAGCTAATATTAACAACTAATATTTAAACAAATATTGATAAATCCAACGCATTGCATTCAAGGTTTCTTATGCAAGTTAGGGACGGGAATGGAACTTGTCGATTCTAGAAAAAGAGATTCTCGCACGGTTGGTTTTTGGAATGCGTTGTTTGGCCCACATCGGGTGGACGAAAATACATATCTGTACCTGCAGAGTCTAGAAAGAACGACTGGGTAACCTTTTGGGACATGATAAAAGACTTCTTGGGGAACTCCAATGGGAAGCTTTTGAAGGGTGCCTCCACCTCTTCATTTACAGAGAAGGTTAAGAAAAGAGATAGCATGATGGCATCCCTACAATAGAGGATGAGGTTTTTGAGAGAAGAAAAGGGAGCAACTCGTATTGGGTTCAAAAGGAAGCCGAAGTTGTGGAAACAGATTGGGATAGCGCCATGGTTATTTCACGGTTTAGTGCTCAAGATAGTTGGAAGGCAATTGCTGTCTCCCTCAAAAGAGTCTTCTCAGAAAATTGCCAAGTCAACCCCTTCTTGGCAGATAAGGCTTTATTTAGATTTGAAAATGGACGGCCCTGAACTCTTGGCTCAATGGCAAGTGGCACAAGTTAGATGTATTCATGTGAAGATGGAGAAGTGGGATGTCGAAAAATATGGCAGTAATGAAATGATGGTGTGTCTGGGTGAGAATTTGTGACTTACCTTTAGAGCTTCGGAACACGAATTGCTTCAAGGCCATTGGAATCCATCTCGGAGGTTTAAAGAAAATCTCTTCAACATCGCTAAACCTGGTAAACTGTTCAGTAGCCTTCATTCAAATAGAGAAGAATATATGTGGCTTTATTCCGACTTCTATTGAGATAACTACAAAATATGGGGTGTTTGTGGTAAAATTGGCTGCTATAAATGGAGCTGCCAAGTCTTCATTTCCTTCCGTTCAGCTTTCAAAGACCTCGCCTATTGTTGCAACAGACCCTTTATCTTCTCAAAATGCTCGTGCTGGCCTAGTAATTGTGACAGGTCAGTTGAGCACCCCTCTGGTCAGTAAAGTCGTGGGCTTTGATAAGGAAATGGACAATATTGGCCCTACGGTTTTTCAAGAATCAGATGCAGAAGCTATTTCAAAACAAAAATCAAAGGGCAACCATTTTCCTCCTAGTATGAAGAATACCGAAAGATTAATTCAACCCCTTCCTTTTTACTATTTTCGTAGAAAGTCTACCACTATTTTTGGAAAGAAACTCACAAAGCCTTTGTTAGCTGAAGGGGTTCAAGTTAACTTGAATAAGTCTTTCAATAAGGAAAGGGAAGGAGTTAGTAAAGTTAGTATGGACAAGGTAAATGTTCCGTGCATTGGTTCTATACACTCCACTAACGAGGGTTTGCCTCTTAGATTATCCTGTTTAGAATGCTCGGATAATGATTCTGAAGACGACGATGGTCCAACCAATATTAGTAGCTTGGACTCTTCCCCAAAGTCAGACATCCCTATTTAGGATGCTTCTGAGCAATCCTTTGAGGAAGATCTTCAAATTTTATTTAATGAGCAAAAAGAAGATAAGAAGTTAGTTTCCCCACAACAATCAACAATTCCTTCCTTTTTTGAAGAAATGGGGATTACTCTTGTCTGATTAGAGTCTGCCCTTTGAGTTTTCGGTTGTTCGGAAAGTTGGAATGTTTCTCCTACGCCTTCTGCAGTTTTATTTTGGTCGGTTGGTTGGTGGGACTTTCAAAGTTTTTCTCCGGTGTGCAGATTAGCATATGTTGGTTTGTATTTGACTGTTTTTTGAAGACAGATTTGAGGCTTAGTTTTTGGTGATTACTCATTATTTGAATTCTGTCTGCGGTCTATTCTTGTGTCCCTAGATTCTACTGGGTTCTTTCTGGAGTTTGGTTTTCGCTCTTGGTGCTAAGGACGGGTTTTCCCTCTTGTTGATGTTGGCTCTGGATTTAGTTTGGCTTTCCAAGCTCAGTAGCAAGTAGTTTTTTCTGAGTTCTGTTTTAGAATGTCTTTTATCTTTTCGAGCTTGTTTTGCTCTTGTTGCGCTATTTCTTCGATATTTCCTCTTCCCTCTTTTCTTTTTTCACCCCTTTGGGGTTTGTATCTTGAACATTTTTCCTTTTCGTATATCAATGAAAAGTTGTTTCTCGTTCAAAAAAAAAAAAAAAAAAAGAATAAACCACTAATGAACCAAAAGGCTTAAGTTTATGGGTTGCCTAAATTTAATTCACTTATTTGATATCTTAACACTCCTTCTTACTTGTGGGCATAGAAAATTGCACCAGACCCAACAAGTGGAAATGAATATAAATGGGAAAGAAACAACCATGTAAGGTTCAAACAGAAGACCTTTGCTCTGATACCATATTAAACATGAATAAACCTTCAATGAACCCAAAAGCTTAAGTTTATGGTTTGGGTAGATTTAATTCAAATATTGGATATCTTCACAAGGAGAAACACCATTCACATTAGTAACCCTTGGCGAACGGGCAGCTGCATTAGATGCAGAGAATGAACATTAAATGCTTCCTTCTCTCGTTCCTTGTCACATGTTCTGTTCTCTCACCCCCTTCTTCATTAAAAGTTGGTTGTAAGTTTGAGATGTCAGGCGTCTGCCTGGAATATCAACTAATGAACCAGCCTCCTCTACTTTTTTGAGAAAAAACCTTTCATTTTCCCCTTCCTCATTTAATGTACAAACGTCATTTGGCTTTTCAAGAATAATCCCTTCCTCTTCTCCCCTCTTTATTGATTCTTCTATTGGAAATAAAGGATCCATAAAAGTTTACTTTTCCAGATTAAGTTTAGGGCTGAAGACATCCATTAAGTCTTCTTCTGCAACAGAGAAGTCATTCAATTTTTCAACCAATGGGATTATTTCTGGCACAATAGTGACATCATCCTTATTTCTATCCGTTTCTTCCCTAAAAGTAGGAAGAATCACCGAATGGCCAACTGTAGCCCATTCAGTAACCCTTTCAAATTCTCATTCACTACCTCGGAATTTGGCATCGAAATAAATGTTCATCGTCCTCTAACTTCTTATCGCATAAATGAAGAGGGATTTCCTTTATGAGATTCTTCATCTGCCACAACTTCCTGTCTTTGGATGTCCAATGAGTCTGAAGAAGCTGCAAGCAACTGATTCTTGTAGTTCTGCTTAAAGAACAATCCTGGCACATTGACTTCTCCATTTAAAGCTCCCACTCAACCCACAAAAATTCCAAATTTTATATTTATCTCGATGTAAGCAAAAATGAAACCGCAAACATTCGTTTCTATTTGAATCAGGGTGCATAAATCATCGAAATGACCATTACACTATCCCACTCGAGCTCTACTGACTCCTGTCTGACCCAATAATGCTTTAAGAATCCTTTGGTGGCTGGGACTCCTTGACTTCTCATCTTCCCATTGGAGTAGGAGTTCTGATCCTTGACCTTCTTTGTGAACTTCTGAATAGCCTCATCCTTAAAACTTCCGTTCTTCTCTCCTACCAAAGCCTCAGCATAAGAAATCTGAGAATTTGATGCGCTCTTCTCCTTTGGAGCTTCTTTATCCCCTGGGACTCCCATCTCCCTTAAAAATCGTATCTCAAAAAGCAATCCAACCACTTTTCCCAATTCCAACGGCAATTACAATCTTTCTTCTCCCTCCGGTTGGAGGCCCAACAACTAATTCAACATGAAACCTTGAATCAAATTTAAATTTTTGAATTCTACACATACCACACTCATTTCTTAACTGATTATAAAACGGAGTTTGCTTTGGCAGAGTTTGCTTTGGCAGCTGCATCATGTTAACTGACTGATCTTCAAACCAAACTAACTGCAGAATTTTCATGGGCAGTACATCATGGCATTTCATATCTTCCACATAAAACCAATAATCTTTGAACCATAAGCAAGAATGTGTATTCTCCACACAACAACTATTAATTTCCATGATAACCATGATATCAAAGAACTAAAATCTGAACTAATTCTAAAACTGGAATCTCTCATGGACAAACTTCAAACACGAACAAAAGGCTAGGATTGACGACTTTGAGAGGAGAGAGAAGGGAGCTTACTTACCTTTCCATTCCCTTAGCGTAATATTGCAATGGTACCCTGCTGCCTGTGGGCATCACTTTTGTTTCTATCATGCCCAAATACCAATTTGTTGATCTAAATTCAAAAAGACCTAGAAGTTCTACGAAGTGGGAAGAAAGCTTTTTCTCAAGCTTTAGGAGCAGCTGGTTTGCTGTTTTGTTTGGCTGGTTTTGGCTGTTTGGGAGCAGATCTTTAGTTTTTTTATTTTTAAGCTTGGTTTCTTTGGCATGTTGAGTGTTAACTTTGGCTTTTGCTTACTTTATTGCTGGAGAGTTTGTTGCTCTGGTGAGTTTGGTTAGTTGGCTTTTTTGGTATGCTTAAGTTTTTTGTTTTGGAGGCTGCTGTTTTAGGTTGTTTGTTGGTTATCTTTTTCTCCTTTTGGGAGGTCATTTCTTTGAACATTTTGTATTTTTTATCCATTTCTGGTTAAAAAAGTATACATATACATAGAAAGACCATCACCAAATGAGGAAAAAACTAAAATGTTATAGACAATTATTCTTTACAATAAATATAAAATAAATGTAATGCTACCAGTACCTACCAAGCTAGTTTGAAGATCTCTTCCCTACCTAGTTTGTCAAGAATTTTTCTTGACAGGCATAGGCAGCATATCAGTCATTTGTTCTATTGTTGAAAGATAGATCTCACAAACTTCATCCCTAAGAAGTACTTTAAGGTTCTTAGGTCTTTGATGTAAAACTCATTTGCAAGCTATTTCTTAAAATTGCTAAACATAGTTCATCATCGGAGAAGAGGATAGTATAACAAATAAATTGCGATTTTACTATTCTTAAGAGTGCTTATAAAAATTGGTAGAAACTCTCTTCTCTTCTTCAATAAACTTTGATAAACTAAGTTAATTTTAAGTTGGCAGAGATGACACATTACTTGCAGGAGTATGGCCATAGAGTTAGATTGGCAACTCATGCAAACTTTAAAGATTTTGTACTCTCTACTGGGTTGGAGTTCTTTCCTTTGGGAGGAGATGCTAAAGTTCTTGCCGATTGTAAGTGTTCCGATTATTTTCCCATACGTTTTTGCATAACATCAAAATGCTATAGTAATGAAGATCGGTATTTAAACTATTGTGTGAGGGATGTCCTCTTGTATTAAAAATATGCTAAGATTTGGAGCTTATTTATGATTATGAAATTTTTTTTATTTTCTACAGATATGGTCAAGAATAAAGGATTCTTTCCATCAGGACCTTCGGAGATTCATACTCAACGAAATCATTTGAAGGATATTATTTTCTCATTACTTCCTGCGTGCCAGGATGTTGATCCGGAATCTAAAATTCCTTTTAAAGCAGATGCGATAATTGCTAATCCCCCCGCATATGGTTAGAATCAAATTTGTTATTCTATATATTCTTTTCGTGGAATTTTGAATGTGTAATTTCAATTTATAATCTACTTTGTTTTTGTTTTTGTTTTTTGTACTTCCATTTGTTCCTTAACCCTTCAACATGGGTCATTTGCTGACCAATCCAATTTGCCACAGCTTTGTGCTGTTTAGGTTATTAGAAGGGAAGGGTGCTAAAAATTGTTGTGGTCTCCATCTTACTAGTGCAGAAGATTTTATAGTGGAGTCTGATTTTATGTCTTTTAATTAGTTTTTGTGTATTTTTAGTGTGGTTTAGGCTCGAGTAAGAATGCTCAAGAGAGGGAGGGTCCAAATACCCAAATAATTTGGGAGTTATTGTAGTTCTTCTATTATTTATATTTCAATATATTCCAGTATTTGGTTTGTAGCAAAATGATGTCCTTCCAAAGAGCAGGGTTGTCATAAAAAAACTGCCAAATTCATTTAGTCATGAGAGCTTTATTACTGTCTATGGTCTTTTCAATGTCAAGGCAACCGTTGGTAATAGAGGAGGATACAATCTACCGATTAACAATGTGTTCTCCCACTCATTTTACTCCTTCCTAAAGGAAATTAGGAAGAATTTGTTGAATTGTAGTACACACCTTGGCAGGAGCGTGGAAGACCAAAAGAAAATAGATTGCAAGTTAGAAAGCAACGCTTGGATGAGCATAAGTGTTCTCTTTTGTAGAAAATTAGCTCATTTTATCAAGGAGATTTTGAGTTGACTGATCTTGGGCTGCCACCAATGTTAACTTTTTTCAGGGAGAAAAGAAAATTATAGAGATTAAACTTTTGGATGAGACTTAAGCAACCACTGTCTGGTTCAACGTGCTCTAACCTATCTTGATTAAGACCAAAAACCTATAAAAAAATGAAGCTTAGTTTAAGCTGTAAAAAAAATGAGAGAATTGAAAATTTATGAATATCCACCGATAGATATGAATGGTGTCTCTCTCAGTAGAGAGAGTTATAGATTCCAAGAAAAGAGGTGAGTCGTCGACTTTCAAAACCATGTGTAAAGTACTAACACAACCCTGCCATCTTTCTAAAGTAACTAGCGAAAAAACTTTCCCCTTCTCATGACAAAAAAGGAAAGAGGGGCGTTCTATTTTGACTCAAAAAGCTACATCTTACACTTGAAAACTTCTTTTACTTTACCTATCTTAATTGAGATAAATCTAAATAAGCTATCACCTTTAATAAAAAATCAATAGAAAAAATCCCTTCCTAGCCAATGGGACTCTACATTTGGCTCTTATTCTATATCAAACTTGGATTAGAAGAACACCCTAGTACACAATACAAAAAAATCAATCAATTCTCTTGATCAGTGAGAAAAAGCGTGTGTGTGTGTGCACGGGGTGGGGGGTTAAAGATTGGCACTCCACATCTCGTGAACACAAATACTTGTTTCATTTTCAATTTCTTTTGCGACTGGTAGCACAGTCTTCTTTTAGGCTTTCTCGTGGTAGAGCACTAGTAGCACGGCTGGTTTTATCTCCTTGTGAATCTTCTTTGGGTCAATGTCAAACCTACAATTTCATAATTTTTTTCTGAAAGGAATCAAAGAACTTTTTAAAACAAGTCTAAAGGTTTGATGTTGTCATGCTCAAAGCTTCTTAATGGTGTTCTCTACCCAAATATTTTTCTCAGTATTCTATTTGTTATATTGGTATGAATTGGGATGCTTTTGCTTTTTACTTATTAGGTTACATCTGTTAATTGTATTTTTCTTTTCATTCCCACTGTTATTAGAATTAACATATTATCGAAGATTGTTAGCTTCATGACATGATTTCTGTCGGTGCCACATTGGTTTTTTAGTTTGGCTTAAACTAATTCCCCCCTCCCTCAAGGTTTCCCTGCGCTCTGATTGTTTTTAAAAAATATTTTTATAGTTATTTTAAAAAAAAATTCCTTAATTTAGCAGTTTGTTTTTACACTGTTGAATATCATCTAAAGAACTTAAATTGTGTGAGGTATCAACTCCTCAGTACTCAGATTTACTTCCAAAAGATAACCCGAAGGTGATACGAAAAGAACAAAAACAGCCCTAAGGCAACAAAAGACCCACCAATCCGAGAGGGTGGGGAATCTCTCCCTAGCAGCCCAAAAGCTAACCCACACAAAATGCTAGAATACCCCCCTTAGCCTACATTCTCTTCCCCTTATAGGCAGAACTTCCCTCCTTCCTACATGTAGCTGGTCCCCCCTCCTTCTCTCTCTTGGCGGTTATGGCCCTCCTCTCCTAAAAAGACTTCTTTACCCTTCCTACTATATGTTTTTACAATTGGAGGCTTTAACATCACCCCTCATTTCAACTGTCACCTTGTCCTCAAGGTGAAACATAGGAAATTGTTTGCTCATGTCACGGACATTCTCCCAAGTAGCTTCCTTGTCAGGTAAACCCTTCCAGCTGATGAGAGCCTCCCTTTCTCCTGTGGTAGTATTGTTTTGAAACGCGAACACTCTATCTGGTTCTGCGGCCCATTCCCAATCTTCCTAAGCTGTGGTGGAATAAGAGGAGCGGCTAAAGCTGTCCCAATAACTTTCTTTAGTTGTGACACATGGAAGACAGGGTGAATTCGTGCTTCCGCTGGTAGGTCCAATAAGTACGCGACTTTACCAATCCACTGTAAGATAGCATAGGGTCCGTAGAACTTAGGCTGCAGCTTCTCATTCCTTCTTTTGGCTATAGACAGTTGGCGATAGGGTCGCACCTTTAGGAACACTAGGTCGCCAACATTATCCTCCACCTCCCGGCGCAATTTATCAGCACTTTTCTTCATACGATCCTCGGCTTTCTGTAATTGTTCCTTCAGATGGTTAAGAGCAAGGTCTCTCTCAGTGAGTTGTTGATCCAAAGTGGCATTGGCTGTTTTCTGACTCCCATAAGATATCAAAGGTGGAGGAGCTCAACCGTACAGTGCCTGGAATGGTGTGGAGCCCAGTGAGTTGTGGTAAGTGGTGTTATACCAATGCTCTGCCCACGCCAACCACTATCCCCAGGACTTAGGCTTCTCACTACAAAAACACCACAAATATGTTTCTAAGCAGCGATTCACTTGTTCTGATTGTCCATCCGTCTGAGGATGATAGGCAGTGCTCCTCTTGAGTGTGGTGCCTTGCAATCTGAATAACTCCGTCCAGAAATGGCTGATGAAAACTTTGTCCCTATCTGATATGATGGATCTCGGGAAGCCGTGCAGCCTAACAACCTCCTTAATAAAAGTCATTGCTACCACCTTGGCTGAAAACGGGTGACTCAAAGGAATGAAATACGCATACTTACTTAAACGGTCTACCACGACTAGAATCATTTCCTGCCCCTGTGATTTAGGTAACCCTTCCACGAAATCCATCGTTAGGTCCTCCCAAATTCGGTCAGGTAGCGGTAGGGGCTGAAGAAGTCCTGCCGGAGCTAGGGACTCTGTTTTGTGTCATTGACACACCTCGCATTCACTCACATGGCGCTTTGCATCTTCCTTCGTCCCGTGCCAGTACAATTCCCCTGTTAGTCTCTTGTAGGTTCTCAGAAAGTCCGAATGTCCTCCAACTACCGAATTGTGGTACATCTGAAGGATAGCTGGTATCAAGGTTGATGTTTTTGTTAAGATTAAGCGGTTTTTGTATTGCAATGCGCCGTTCAGCAGGTGGAATTTTCCTCCACTGTCCGGATCTTCGTTAGTCAACACCTTGGCAAGGTGAGGATCCTCAGAGACTTCCCTCTTTATAACGTCCACATAGATCACTACGGTTACCGAAAGGACTGCTAGTGTTGGGGTCGCGGGCATCCGTGATAAAGCATGAGCTGCTTTATTCTCCAATCTGAGCTTGTACTGTATTTCAAAGTCGTATCCCAACAACTTGGAGATCCAGTTCTGGTATTCGGGTGGGACTATACGCTGCTCTAAAAGGTATTTAAGGGCCTGTTGATCCGTTCGAACAATGAACTTCTGCCCCAGGAAAGAGTATGCGTTGCATCGCTAAAACAACAGCCATTAACTCGAAAGAGTATGCGTTGCATCGCTAAAACAACAGCCATTAACTCTCTTTCATACACTGACTTCGCTTGGTTCTGCAAGAAAAGAGTATGGCCGAAGTAAGCAATTGGTCGCTGGTTTTGCGTGAGCACTGCTCCTAGTCCTGTCCCTAACGTATCGGTTTCTATGACAAATAGGATCGTGAAATCCAGCAGAGCTAACACTGGTAGTGTCACCATAGCTCTCTTAAGTTGCTCAAAGGCTGTAGTAGCTTGATCCGACCATTGGAAACTGTCTTTCTTGAGCAGTTGGGTAAGAGGGGCTGCAATAGTGCCGTAGTTCGATACAAACTTTCTATAGTACCCCGTGAGGCTCAAAAACCCTCTCAGCTCTTTCACATTTTTAGGTTCTGGCCACTGGATCATGGCTGCTACCTTGGAGGGGTCAGCTTCCACTCCCTTCTCCGAGACCCAATATCCCAGATATTCGATGTGTTCGACCGCGAAATGGCACTTCTTCAGGTTCACAAAGAGTGAATTGGCCCGCAGCACATTGAAGATCATGGCAAGGTGTTTGAGGTGCGTCTGCAAGTCAGGACTATATACCAAAATATCATCAAAGAACACCAATACGCACCTTCGAAGGAATGGTCTGAAAACGTTGTTCATGAGTGCCTGAAAGGTGGAGGGAGCGTTGGTGAGGCCAAACGGCATCACTAGAAACTCATAATGCCCTTCGTGCGTTCTGAAGGCCGTCTTATGAGTGTCTTCCTCTACCATCCTGATCTGGAGGTAGTCGGAACGAAGATCAAGCTTTGAATACACCTTGGATCCATTCAACTAATCAAGTAATTCTTCTACCACCGGTATTGGAAACTTATTGGGTATAGTAGCAGTGTTGAGAGCCCTATAGTGTACACAAAAGCGCTAGCTGCCATCCTTCTTCTTGACTAAGATCACTGGGCTAGAGAAAGGACTCACACTCGGTTTAATGATCCCCGATCCCAACATTTCGTTAATTAGACTCTCTATTTCCTCTTTCTGAGCATGGGCATACCGGTAAGGTCGGACATTGATTGGGGTTTGCCCTTCCTTCAAAGGGATTCGATGATCCACGGTTCTTTTTGGAGGTAGCTCCTCTAGTTTCTGGAACAAGTCCAGGTATTCATGAATGAGCTCTTCCACAAAGGGGACAGGTTTTCAGCAACCTCCTTTGTTTCTTCCTCTAATGTGCTCAAGGTTCGCAGTTCTACTAGATATCCCTGGTCATGGTCCTCCCACCCTTTTGCCCATCTCTTCATCGATACTTCCAAACGTGCCAAGGTTGGATCGCCTCGAATGGTAATCTGTTTTCCTCCTCTATCGAATCTCAATGTGAATGCCGGCCAGTCGGCCTCCCACTGCATTCCCAAAACAATGTCTAGAGTCCCCAACTCTAAGGGAAGAAAATCCTCTCTAATTGTGAGTTCTGGCAGGGATAATACAATGCCCTTGCAGATACCGTTGCCCTTCACCGCAGTTCCAGATCCCATTATCACCCCATAGCTCACTGTTTCTGTCTTCGTCAAACTCAATTCGTCCACCAAAGGTAAGGATATGAAATTGTGGGTGGCTCCACAATCTATCAGCACCACCACCTCTCGCCCTTGGATCGCCCCTTTTACTTTGATCGTTCCGGTGTGGAGATTCCTACGATCATATTCAGGTGACATTCGACGATCTTGCCCCCTTTTTCTTCGATTTCTTCCTTTTGTTCCTCCGGTAACTTATCATCTTCCACCTCAAACATTTCTTCGTCGTGCACTACGAAGACTCGGAGCTCTCTGTTTCGACACTTATGGCCCACCGTGTACTTTTTCTCACAGCGGAAGCACAATCCCTGCTCCTTCCTCTTCTGAAACTCAGCCTCCGTAACTTCTTGAAGGGAGCTTCCTTCTTTGTTGACGGCGATGTTCCTGCTACCTGCGTCGTTAATGGGACCTTACTTGAAAGAGTTACCATACGAGTAGGTATTACCTCTAGGGTTTTGGAAACTGTTTTGCTCGTCATTGGGCCAATTTGGGCCTTCTCCGTGGTGTTTTGTCCCGCGGCTTCCAGACTTGCCGTGTTAATGTCGTCGATGAGTTGGGCCTTTCGCACTACTTGATCCAACCCTTTGGGTTCTAGGGCCCTTACTTCCGCGCGCATCACTGGGTCGAGCCCATTCAAGAAAGCGCTTTCTAGCACCTCATCGGAAAGTTGCGGGAGAGCCGCCGCTAGAGCTTCGAATGTCTGTCGGTACTCCATGAACTTGACCTCCTGTTTGATCGATAATAACCGTGCGCATTGTCTGCCTTCGCTTGCCGGATGGAACTGATCACGTAGTCGCCCTTTGAGGTCGTTCCAGTCACGGAACTTCTCTCTGTTATCAGTATACCGATACCAAGCCAAAGCTATACCATCAAAACTGATGATAGCTACGATGATCTTCTCATCTTCAGACAACTTCTGGATTTCATAATATCGCTCTGCTCAAAAAATCCACGCCTCCAGCTCCAGACCTGCAAAAACCGGCATCTCAACCTTTTTGAAACGATTTCGTGTATTCTGATTACCATTCTCTTGTCCTAAGACTTCATCCTCAATCGCCTTCCCCTTTGTCACCGACGTGTCCCCCGTTACCATCGACACGGATTGCGACTTACCCCCGATGACCTGAGCCATGAACGCCTTCAGCGTCGCATGAATACATTCACTCAACTTCTTCTGTTCATCAAATTTTTGATGTAACAATGTGATTTCCACCTTCACTTCTGATTTCCACCTTCACTTCTGCTACTTCCTTCTCCACTGCCTCACACCTGGTTTCGAGCTCCTTTACCGTCATTCTCTCTTTTGATCGCCCAGTTTCGACACGCTCTGATACCAATTTGTGAGGTATCAACTCCTCACTACTCGCATTTACTTCCAAAAGATAACCCGAAGGCCGAAGGTGATACAAAAAGAACAAGAACAGCCCTAAGGCAACAAAAGACCCACCAATCTGAGAGGGTGGGGAATCGCTCCCTAACAGCCCAAAAGCTAACCCACACAAAATGCTAGAATACCCCCCTTAGCCTACATTCCCTTCCCATTATAGGCAGAACTTCCCTCTTTCCTACATGTAGCTGGTCCCCCCTCCTTCTCTCTCGGCGGTTATGACCCTCCTCTCCTAAAAAGACTTCTTTACCCTTCCTACTATATGTTTTTACAATTGGAGGCCTAACAAATTGCTCGACTGATTTTTCAGGTCATACTCAAGTGGCTGAGGCGTTGAGATTACCACTTCATATATTTTTCACAATGCCATGGACGTAAGTCTTGTTTGGTGATAAAAAAATCTAGTACCTAAAACAATCGATGCATATTGTTAAAAAATGAATCTTACAATGACATTATTGATATAGCCATAGATAATTCTCGATTAATGTTTGATTGCCTATTTAGCATTTTCCATTTGATTAAATCTTAAGAAGGAAAAAATGAACTTTTTTTTTTTAATAAGAAACACTTCATTAGAAGGAACAAAAGAACAAGAATAGCCTAAGGACAGGGGCCAAGACAGCCCCTTCCAAAAAGGAAGCTAATCACAAAAAAAACTCTCCAATTTTGTAAAATTAGAGAGAGGCTGTAATTACAAAAAAATTTCGTATTTCTTATACATTTCCGAGAAGCTAAAACCTGCACACTATTACAAAAAGAATCCCAAGACTTAGCTTTATCTTCGAAGGAGCGATTCCTTTCCATCCAAACATTCCAAAGAAAAGCTCTGAAAGCGCATCTCCACAAAACTCTAGCCTTTCCATTGAAATGCCACCCTTGAAAACATTCTAATAACCAGCTCTCCACGTCTTTAGTCATACATAATTGGATGCCAAAACATTGAAATAGAAACTGCCATCCTTTTAAAACAAAGGGGCAGTGAAGAAACAAATGATCCAATGTCTCTGCCCCTTTCCAGCAAAGGCAGCAAACTGATGGAGACAAAAACCATAAGAAAACCTTTACTTTTTTCGGGATAGGGTCCTTCCAAATGAAAGTTATAGGGGGGACTTTAATTTGGGAGGAGTTTCCCTTAATTTCATGTAGGCTGATTTCGTGGTGAAACGACCATTCTGTTCCAGCGGCTAGACAACGGCATCTGACTCTTCTTCTAACACGAACACCTCCAAGTGTTGAACCATTCTCATCCAACTTTCCAATTCTCTATCAAATAAGACTCTTCGGAAGCCTAGATCCCATGTTTTATACACATTACACCAACAGTCTGCCACCACAGCTTCTTTTTTAAGGGAAATGGCATACAAGTCTGGGAAATCTTCTGCTAAAGCTGCCTCTCCATTCCATTTATCAAGCCAAAATCTGATTCTGCTACCTTTCTCTAGTTTGAAGGCCAGCTGATTAATAAAGAAAGACGAAGTTTTAGCAATGTTGAACCAAGGTCTACCTCTCGATTTACCTTTAGGATCTCTAGGCAACCACCCATGAGGATTAACTCCATAAATGCTAGAGATGACCTTCCTCCATAAAGCTTCACTAATTACAGTGCCCTCCCTAGATATCCTCCCTCCCTCCCCCCTGAAAGTAACAAGGGTTATCTATGTTTTTCATTTGCATGATTGTGTCTAAGCCAAAGAACGAAGTTATGATGTACTATTAACTAATATATGTAATTTGAAAAGCACATGTGTTCCATCGGATTATCCTGTAACTATCAGCACTATTTTTTCAGGCCCACCAGTGATTTCCCTCATCCTCTAGCTCATGTCAAGCATCCAATAGGATATAGGGTGAGTTAGTACTAATAGTTCTCACTTGTCAGGCCCTTTATTTCTTTTAATACATGTAAATATTTCTTTTTGGCAGTTGTCGTATAACGTAGTTGATACTTTAATTTGGCTTGGAATTCGTGACATTATAAATAGCTTCAGGAGGAAGAAGCTGAAACTGAGACGAATATCCTATCTCAGTGGACATTACAGCACTCCACCGGATTTGCCTTATGGGTATATATGGAGTCCTCATCTTCTTCCCAAACCAAAAGGTGAAACTTTCATTCTCCTACTGTAGATTTTTTAAAGAATATAGTTTGTAAGATGGGTATAGCATAATGGAAAGACAATATTACTGTTACTATACTCTCTATTACACCAGCACTATCATGGTAGGCGATTCAATTTCACATGCATGATCCTTTGTTATTTTCTTGCTGTTATTCTTACCAATTCTGCTTTTTCATCATCTGCGTTTATGCATGCACATAGTCAGGTAAACCTGTTTATCTGGATAGCCAATATCGTAAATTTTCTTATGATTCTGTAAAGGATGATTTTGAATATTACATTTCCAAATTTTTTTAATATATTGATGAACAAACTACACTTTTGGTCTTTGAGGTTTGAGTTTGGTTTTTATTTGGTCCTTGAAGTTTCAATCCTTGATGTCAGGAAAATAGTTCTTGATGTCAGGAAAATAGTTCTAAAATGTTCTTCAGTTAGTTTGGCTTTGACTAATAAGAAGATGACATCGTATGTTAAGGTGTCAGTGGCAATTTTTACTAATCTTTATTATTTTATGGTTTACATGGCATTTCTTTTTTTTTTTCCTCTTCCCTTTTCCATTCTCTCTCCCCTCCCCTCCCTTTCTTCTTCCTCTTCTTCTCCTCCAATGGATGTTCGCTGCTGACCGATCATGGCTAATCCCCGTTCCAGTAGCGATCCCTGCTGGCAAAATATTCTACAACAAAAGCAACGGGTTCTATGGTTTGATGAGTCGGTTCACCATTTCAAGTGTTATTTTCCTGATTGCCAATGCTTGGCACTATACTGGAGTTAGTTCCTCTCCCTTCCTTAATTTCTCTGCATCTTTATTTAGAAGAATAATTTCTTTTTAAAAAGGTCAAGAAATTTTTTTTTCCTTGATTGAATAAAAATATGGCTTAAATCCGATTTTTCAGCCTCAAACACTTCCCTGCTACCTTGGTGCGGCTATGGGATCATTCATTCCTGTACCCTCTATCACCCGCTCATGGAAGATTCATTCTGGATCTGTTCTAGTTTTGTTTCAATGGCATTGGGACAAACAACATGGATGGCTATTGAAACGGAGAAGTGAAACAGCAAACATCCCGCAGAGAAAAAGAAGAGGAAGAAGGGTAAAGGAGAAGGGAAAGAGAAGGGAGAGAGAAAGGGAAAGAGAGGAAAGAAAAGGAAAATGAAAAACCATGTAATCCTAAAAAAATTATGTAATTAATAAAAATTGTGACCTCTTTTAGAATTTTACACCTCAACATGCCACATTATTTTATCATTAGTCAACTAACAGTCAAATTAACTTAGTTTCAGATTTATTTAGGGTTTCAGATTTTACACCTCGTAGTTTTTGTTTTATCTTAAGTCTGGCTATTACTTAGTTTCCTAGGTCCCTTTTTTCGCTTTGAATACAGTGCTAAATACTAAAACACACTATTTCTTCTGGTTTCTATTCTATACTATTGCTTTGCATGCCAAGTTTAAGAAGCACATAGGTCCTGCCACAACCCTTTTAAGGTTGTATAGGATTTTTTGTAGCTTGAGTGCTTTATTCCGTTTCCTGTATCTTCATTGTCATTGTGAGCTCAAGCTTTCAGTTAATGGATGCAGCACAAAACATGGACTGCTAAAGTGTTACCAAGAATGTATATGTACAAAGAACCATGATGATGAATTTTTTAAGTTTGAAATTCTTGTTCTGCTACCACATTGTAGTTACGAGGCTTAGGTTAATTCTAAACTTAAAATTTCTTAGGGGGCCATTGTAATTGTTGTATTCAAAAGTTTGATATTCTTTTCTTTTCTTTCCTCCCTTTCACAGGATGAGTTGTTTACAAATTCTTGCTGCTATCGTTTTCAGTTCCTTGGGATCTCACCTACTTCAAGTGATACTTGGTGATCCCACTCTTCCTCTTCCTCGTTACTTTGATGACAAATTTTTCTCTTTGTTTCAGATTGGGGCCCTAAAATTGACGTGGTTGGATTTTGTTTCCTTGACCTTGCTTCCAATTATGAACCGCCAAGTTCTCTTGTGGAATGGTTGGAAGCGGGTGAAAGGCCTATTTATATTGGATTTGGCAGCCTTGTGAGTTATATTTTTAATCTTTGCATTCCAATGCTTGCATTAAACTTGACTTGATCTTCCAATTTATAAATAGTTAGATTTTAATTTATATCTAAATATAGTAATCTTTTATATGTAATTCAGGATGTAGTTGTTAAACATAAGAAATTGACTTGAAAGGCCCACAGCTAAATTGAAGAATTCCAACTTTAGATTCAAATCCTATTAGTGAACTGACAATGAATAAGAATTCTGAATATCTTGGACGTATTGTCTCATTTCTTTTGACGTTCCTATTAGCAATAGAAACCAAATAACTGAAATTATATTGAAGGGAAAAATGATAAGGAGCAAGAACTCTCCAAGTATTCGAGTTACTCTCAAGCCTAAAACAACAGAATACATACATTCCTTCCCTCCCATTCACTCTACTTATAATTGAACTCCAACCAACAAACTCACTAATTACTAATATGTCCTTACTGTCCTAATAATATTTCTAACTACCCCAACCGCAGTCCTAACACTACCATCCTAGACATTTTAGGCTATCAAAATGTTTAAGTTTAATTTGTGCTAATAAACTATGACAAAATGAAATTATCCATCTATTTTTATTCATTTTGAGTTTGATGCAGCCTGTTGAACAACCTCAAGAAATGACACGGATTATAGTTGAAGCTCTGGAAATAACAGGAAGGAGAGGAATAATCAATAAGGGCTGGGGTGGTCTTGGAAGCTGTTAGTTTAATATTTCTATCCTTTTTGTTTTCGCCTTTGCTGGTTCATTTATGAAATACAAAAAATATATATAACGAGGCTCTGAATGCTTGACTCATGGAAGCAATATGGATTTCTCTGTCTAGTGGCAGAGCCAAAAGAGTTTGTGTACGTGCTGGATAATTGTCCCCATGATTGGCTATTCCCGAGATGCATGGCTGTGGTAAAGTATTTTAAGTGTTATTTATTTTTAAATTTTGCAACTTTGTGGAACAAAGCTGTGGTAGTAGGACTTCATCTAGAAATTGTAACTTTTCCATCTATCTATGGATATATTAAAAGGAGGAATCTGATGATTTAAGAATATTGTGGTCTAACATTAATATGTTTCTTACTGCAAAATAGATTATAGTTTCTTATATCAACAATAAAATAAGTCTCATTACTGAATATAGCTGTACAACCATTGGCTATAATATGCTGCGTGCACCAATTTATATGGCCATACCGTAATTAGGTTAATTGAATGTAATGCTCTTCAAGGCTTTTACATGTATGCTTTTTGATGGATGATATATGAATTGTTATTTAAGTTTAGTTACGGGTATCAAAAGACGAATGCATATTTGAGTTGTAAAATGCTAAAAAAGAGGATTTCATGCATGATAAGATATAAAATACTAGATGATTGATGATTGTGCCCTCCAAAACTGTTCAGGTACACCACGGGGGTGCAGGAACAACTTCAGCTGGACTTAAAGCAGCGGTAAATACTTACCATTACAGTGATCTTTTTGTAAATCGTTTAAGAGAATTGTAACGGGTGGTAAATAATTTTGCCATATTTGCAAATATGGTACAAGGAATCTGATATTGCAAATATGGCAAATTTTTAGGGTAGATATTTATGAGTGATATGCGTCTACCATACGTGTATTAATGTCTATCACTAATAGGGTCTATCAGTGATAAAATGTGCCCGGGTTGAGATATGTTAGAGTTATGAGTTTTTTGAAATCTATCACTAATAGGGTCCATCAGTGATAAAATGTGCCCGGGTTGAGATATGTTAGAGTTATGAGTTTTTTCTTTCAACATAAGTTTAAATTTCATTTCTTTGAGTTTATTTCTTTAATTGTTGGATTTAATTTTCTGTTTTTTTTATCTTTTTTAAGTTTCATTTTTATGAATGGTAAGTTTCTACATTTTAATGTTAGTTTAAGTTATGTGTTGGTTACTAGATAGGACGAAGAATTCTACACCTATATAAGGGTGAACTTCCATGAGAAGTTTGTATCACCAACATTTGTAGTTTGTATCACCAACATTTGTACTTTCACTTTTTTATTCACAATTTTGTATCATTTCAATTAGAAGTTGAGATTTCCTTCTATTGAATTCTACTCTCTCATATTTCATATTTCCTCATTGTTCATCAAACATTGAGAATTTTACTATTGCTTCCGCAATTTTATTTTATCACATTCATTTTCTCAACAAGATATATAATGGATTTTTCGAAAATTGTGCCATATTTGCAATTTTTTAGCTTGGGTTAGATTTACTATTATTTTAAGCTAGGTTGTTATATATGGAATTTCCCCAGTTATTTATGTATGGTAATAGATTTCAGCCTTGTTTGTGTTTTCTTCAGTGTCCTACAACAATTGTGCCGATCTTTGGTGATCAACTATTTTGGGGAGAGCGAGTGCATGCAAGAGGACTTGGACCCCCACCTATTCCGATTGCTCAATTTTCACTTGAAAATTTGATTGATGCCATAAACTTTATGCTAGATCCCAAGGTATTTTAAGTACTTCTATGAACTTTTGGTGACTTCTGAAACTATAATTGCCGTCAATTATTTTTAAAATTGTCTGATCTTATGTGCAAGAGTCTCTTATCAATTAAATATTATCATTCATTAAATATGCAACCATGAATTCAAAACAGAAAATAATAGGAATAAAAAAAGGTAAGGTGTAGGGTACATATATTTATTGATCTCATCATACATATATCATAAATATGTTTAGATATGCATATTTCTTTGCAGTATTCCTAATGGCCGTACGTTTTTTATGGGTAAACTACAAATTTCGTCCTCATTGCCATAGTTTCAATTTGATATCTATAGTTTTAAAAGTTTCAATTTGATTCTTATAGTTTGAGTTTAGTTTCAATGCAGGCCCTATCGCTTTAAAAATTCAAATTTTTTAGTCTACCGTTTTGTCAAATCTCACAAATTGTATGTGTCATTACAAGAATATGTGATGATGAGCTGGTGTGTTAGCTGATTGTTCTTAGGTTAACATTGAGTAAAAATAGAAGAAAACTAGTGAGTTTTGGTGTGTGTAAATAGTGATTTAGAACCCAACTACAAAGACTAAATTGATTCTTTTAAAATCATACATAGAGACCAAGTTGAAACTTTTAAAACCATCTAGATGAAACCGAAACTAAACTCAAACTATAGAGGCTACACTTGTAATTTTGCATTTGAGAAAAATGGTGATGGGCTGTTTGCAGGTAAAAGAGAGGGCTGTGGAACTTGCCAAGGCCATGGAAAGTGAGGATGGTGTAGGAGGTGCAGTGAATGCTTTCCATAAGCATTTTCATCAAAGTAAAACGCTGGCTAAAACTGGTTTCTCACTTTCTAAACGTGGCTTCTCTGTTAGACGACTCCTCCATTTGTCTAAAGAGAACTAAACTTCATCTTTCTTCTTTCTTCTTTTCTTTTATTGTTACAGCCTGAGTTTCATTTACAACCTCATGGTTTGAGCATATTTTCTTCCTTTCTTTTTTTTTTCCCTTTTTTCTAGTGTAGTGTAATAGACTTGGCGTATGAACAATAAATATAATTCACATGGAAGATATCTAATTTTTTGGTAATTTAGATTCTTTGCTTTTTTACTTTTTAGTGGATTTTAAAATATTAATTTTGTTACTATCTATAAGGTATTTGGGACAAGAATATGATATCTATTTAAATTTTTATATTATAGTGTCTTTTCACCTAAAATCTTATATCATTTTCAGTGAGTAAGATATCATCTACTTAAAGAATGAGAAAGGTCTCTTTGATGATGTAAATGAATATTTATGATTTGAAAAAAAAAAGGCAAATGAATATTTGTCATTTGAAAAAAAAAAAAAAGAAATTTACTTCTAACTTTTGGACTACTGATTTACTTGGTTGATTCATGTAAATGTACTATTCAAGATTGTCATTAATAAAAATTAGTCGTAATATCCATTTGCATTTACCATATCTCATATGTAATAATGGATTAGAAAGTCTAAAATAGAAAACTAATGGTACTATAATTGATTCTCACTTACATTTAAGGTGCTTCTTGGAAGTGAGCGATTCCTTCAAGCTACAAGGAGTAATGCGAGAAGTATTATGGTTGAAATTATTTCCTTACTCTTTGAGGGTTGGAGTTAGAGCATGGTTAAATTCACTCCCTGCAATTTCCATCACATCATGGGATGATTTAGTAGAGAAACTTCTCATGACATATTTTGTCCCGAGCAAGAATACAAAATTTAGAAGCGAGATAAATAATTTCCAACAAAATGGAGGGGAATCAAAGGAGTCAACGGCCAGCTAATATTGAACCAACATTAGCAAAATGCAGCGAACTAAAATCATTAAATAAACAAAATTAAAGACATGAAAATTTAAAAAAATACCAGACATATACTAGTCAAAGATCCAACTAAAGCTACAATATTTCAACACCTACTAACAGAAAATAAAAATCCTTTGTAGAATCATTAAAATTCATTTTCTTAACTCTCTACAAGACTTCAAAGGGAGAGGGAGCAGTGGCAGCAAAGGGAGGTGGAGGGGAGAGAAAAAAATGCAGAAATGAAAGGGAAATGGAGAGGGTTAGGTCCTATGGCAATGAAATAAAATTCTGTCGTGAAACCCCTAATTTATCATCTTAATTTTCATTAAAAAAAAATTGGCGATGAAATTCTCACTTTTTTCTCAAAACTTTTAGCGACGAAACTTACATATGGACACCAAAAGTATCCTATGGCAAAGTTTTGAATAAAGAAAATCCTATATCATTCTAAATTTTTGGTGACAACTTTATTTTGGTTGTCATAGGGTACTTTTGCTGACGAAAATCAAAGTACCCTGTTGAACCAATATTTTGTCTAAAATATCTCGAATTAGATGAAACTTTTTGACGACGAATTGCAATTTCGTTGCCACATAGCTTTGGGTGACGCAATTGCAATTCGTCACCCAAAGTTACGTCAAATAAAAAGAAAATTCTTGTAGTGTTCGACAGTTCAATCATAAGAATTTCAAAGTTAAGCTTGGCTTGGAGCAATTTTCGGTTGAGTGACATCCTAATTGATTTACTAAGAAACATACGAGGGAGGACAAAACATGTTAAAGGTATCGTGTTAGTCTATAGAGACAATCTTCACTCTTCTGGGGGAAAAGTTGAAGAAAATTTGGAAGAAATTCATTCCTAGTATTTCATATAGAAAAGTTCCCTCCAAAGATTTACCATATTTCCTCAACTCTCTAGATTTCTTTTTAACGGATTTTTTTTCTTTTCTCGAATTGGTGCATTATCACTTCTCTCCTTAATTTCTAGTTTACAAAATTTCCTTCCAACTTAAGGTTTGAAATTTCCTTTACTATTTTTTTATTAATTTTTTTTTTTTTTTTACTTTCCTTTCAAATTGCTAAATGCATATTGTAATTTAATGTTGAATAGGAAGGGATTCATTTTGCAAATTTTGTTGTATAGGAGAGGGAATTTTATGTTTTGGTGTGATTTTGTTGCATTGTAACTCTATTGTGATTTTGCTAGATATCTTTTTTATTGCCAGCTTGACTTTTGTTTTTATACTAGTTGCAAAACATATTTTCAATTTCACAAATGTTGGGAATTGGATACAAAAGAAAAAAGGGGAGTGAAAACAAATTAATGGCGAAAACCCCAATTTAATGTTGCCTTATTTTTTGACATATATATATGAGTCTAACCGTGGAAGAAAACGGGTTTGTAGCAGCAGCCAATTTTGGGAGATTTTGGCTGCATTTTTTAGGCGGTGGCTCGGGGTATTTGGCAGAGGCTTGGGCAAATCAAGATTGCCTTTATTGGGATAATTATATCTTGAGTTTTCTCATTCCTGTACCTAAGTAACTGTGTTAGATTGCCTAGAACCTAGGGGATTTTGTTGGGACCTCTAGGGGATATTTTTTTGGAGAGTTGATTGTAATCAAATTCTTGACAATATTAGTGAATTACCCACATATGAGTGGAAGACGTGACGTAGCCCTTAGTTGGTGAACCAGTATAATTTTATTGTGACGTATTCTTGTGTTTTACAGTTTTTTCCTTATTTGCACATTGTGGTGTGTGTTTGGATCTTCCTATGGAAGAGGAAATTAGTTAGGATCATTAATTTCCAAACAAGTGATATCAGAACGTAGGTTGTAGTATCATGGGAGACAAATATCATGCATACCATTACTGTGAAGGGGTTCTGAAGTTCATCGGAGAGAATTTCAGTTTTTGGAAGATGCAAGTAAAGGATCTTTTTACGTGCAATAAGATACATAAAACTTTGGGGGAAAGGCCAATGGAGATGACTGACAAGGATTGAAAAGAGATGGATGAGTAGGTCATTGCAAACTTCAGGATGTCTTTATCGATGGGTGTATCTAGCGTCATGGCGAAAGAAACGACAGCTAAAGAACTGATGCAGGTCTTGCAAGACAGGTATGAGAAACCTTCTGCCAACACCAAAATACTTCTCTAGAACAAGTATTTCAATATCAACATGGAGGAGAGAACCTCAGTGAATTCCCATATTAATGAGTTCACCGACATATTGAACAAACTGGAAGGGATTAATATCAAGATTAATGAGGAGGTGAAGGCTATGAGGCTGCTGACATCTTTGTCTGACAGTTGGGAGACGATGAAGAACGCGGTGTCGAATCCGTTGGGGGATAATAGTATGAAATTTGCAGCTATTTGTGATGTTCCCTTATCTGATAAAACCCGAAGAAAATTGGAGAAAATGTCTACATCTACTTCAGGGGCAAAAAATTAGGTCGAATCAGCTATGGTAGTTCAGAACGAGGGGAAGGCCAAGATGAATTACACAGGGAAGTAGCAGCAGACAAATAACATGGCTAGTGGGAGTTCCAGCGAAGTGGAGTGTTATTACTACCATAAGAAGGGACACGTTAAACATTTTTGCAAGAAGTTCAAATAAGAGTTTAAGAAGGGGAACAACACTACAAATGTTATAACAGAAGAAGAACAAATTGAAGAGTTTCTAGCTTGCATTGAGAGGAACACATCTATAGACCATCCATCGGAGTGGGTAGTGGACACTGTAGCGTTACTTCAGACAGACATTGGTTCTCATATTTTACTGCATGTGTTTATGGCTTAGTGATGATGGGGAATGAGAGTGTCTCCAAGGTAGAGGAATTTGAGATGTTTGTTTGAAGTCATGTGAAGGGGTTGAGTTGGTATTGCGAGACGTCTGGTATATTCCTAGCTTCATATTGAATTTGTTATCCGCATGGAAGCTAGATGATGATGACTACAACAGTGAGTTTGTTGAGAGCTACTGGAAGCTCAAGAGGGAATCCAGGGTAGTGGCGACAGGCCATAAAAGATCTTCTGTTTATGTGTCAGAGTTTGGGGTTGCCAAGGGTTCACTAAGACAGAGAATGCATGGAGTAGTTGCATATGGTTCAGGGCGAGATCTTAGAGGACCAGCAACATTGATGACCAAAAAAGATCTGAAGAATCTGCCATCAACTTAAGTTAAACAGCTAGGAAGTACAGAAAAGAGAAATGGTAATTTGATAGGCCATCGAGTTCATATCTTAGCTATTAAACGTTCAGACGAGCTGATAAAGTCGCGTAGGCGAATTAGTGCATCGAAGGGTACGAGCTATGTTTCTATCGTGGCAACATGCTTGAGTGGGAATGCTAAGCCTAATAATGCAGAGAGAAAATATTGTTTCAGAGACCCAGTGGGTTCGATCGAAGAAAGAAGCAGCAGGAACCATTTAGATCAAGTGGGAGTACGTGGCTATGTCTCTAAATCTGGGGGACAAGACCCCATAGAGCTGCCTAATCTCGAGGTAGCATCAGACAGAGCTTGGGAGGGTCGAGCAGTTTGGATCAATTCGTTGACAGAGCAGTTAGAACTGAGCCTTGACATAATTGTCAAGATGAGGAGACACTTGTCTCCAGGTGGGAGATTATTGGAAATTTGATACAAAAGTTGAAAAAAGAAAAAAAAAGGAGTGAAAACAAATTAATGGGCCAAGAGCCCAATTTAATGTTGCCCTATTTTTTGGGATAACAACAGATATAGCCATTTAAAATAGGCAATTTAAAAAGATGGTCAAACAATTTAAGTTTTCAATAATGGTCAACGTAAAAATAGGAAAATCTCATTAATTTTTTAGTTACGAAATTACCCTCCCTAAAATGATTTTAAAATAATAAATATATTATTTTCCCTTTTTATAGGAGAATCCTACCTATATTTTTCTCTACCACCTTTGTAGAAAGGATAATTCAAATATTTTCAAAATCTTACCTAACTCAAATATTTTCCCAATAACAAATAACAAATACGACGAACAAAAGAAACAAATAACAAATACGACGAACAGTGGAACAAATAACAAATACGATGAACAGTGAAACAAATAACAAATACGACAAACAGAGGAACAAATAACAAATACGACGAACAGAGGAACAAAGGAGGAACAAATACGATAAATGAGGTGAAAGAAATAAGGCGTATTTTTGTGAACAATTAATACAAAAAAAATATATAAAAAACACTCTATCTACA